CACACACACACACACACACACACACACACACACACACACACACACACTTCTTAGGAAGCCATCATCTGACTACAGACAATGGACATGACTGCATATGTTGGGAGAATGTCACCTCATATCAACATGAGCTGGGTTCTCCAGAGGGTCAGGAGAGACTGTGTTTGGATTCACCAGTCTTTTACAGATGCCTTTAGACTGTCTATCCCTTGCCTTCCCTGGCTTTAGTGATAGCCACGACAAACCACAAGCCCTCTTTCCTTCTCATCTGCTCTCCTGGCTTCTTCCCCCTGAGCGTGCACATGATGTAAAGGAGTGTGGACACACTACATAGCTTCTCTAATTCTAGATTTGTCATCTTTAAAAACGGCACTGTTATAATAAGCAGAAAATATGGGAGTTTGCTAGGAAAATTAAAATCGTTAATATTAAAGACGAAGTGCACTCTGATGCCCATCACCTGCTGTTTTTAGACTGCCTCAAAAAAATCTTGCCTGTTCACCGTACAGCATCTCTCAGACTGCATCCGCAATGCTAACTCCTATCTGCCGTTCATTCTACTAACCCAGTTATCACCTTGGCAGGCAATCCATTATCATCCCGTATTCTTCCAAGTCTCAGGACCCGACTTCACTAGTGATGCTCCAAATTCAGTGTACGGGTTCATTTTCTATTGCTGTAATGAAACACCGTGACCAGAAGCTGCTTACAAATGGAAAGTTTTGTTTGGGTTTACAGTTCCAGAAAATAAGAGTCCATCATGGTGGGCTGGCAAGGCAGCAAATGTCAGGCATGGCAGCAGAAGGAACTGAACCCTCACCTCTCAGCCACAAGCACTAAACAAGGAAAGAGAACTGAACGGTCGTTAAGTCTTTTCCTCTAAAAGCCCCACCCTCAGCTGGGCTACACCACCTAACCCTCCGCAAACAGCACCTGCAACTGACAAGCAAGTGTTCAAATGCTCAAGGCTACAGGAAGTATCTGATTCAAACCACAACCCTGAGGCCAACAGGACGAGCTCACTCTCACCATATCAGCCTGCTCACTCTGCCAGGCAGCCTCTTGTCCACCCTCTCTATCTTCCTCTTCTACGGAGCATCCTCACTGTCACTAGAACCGGTGAGTTGGGACAGCCATACTTGCTTTTCTATCAGCCCGAGGACACTTAAGGTTGATCTCGTCTATTCTAAGAGTGCCTTATTCCTATAGGAAAAACCACCACAGATTTAGTATCTTCATGGAATCCAAATTTCTTGTCTTATTGTGTTACAGGTCAGAAGTTGGAAATGAGTTTCCCACAGCTCAAATCTGAGAGTTGACAAGGTTGAGCCTTCTAGAAGGCCTGAGGACTTTTGTTGCCTGGGTTTTTAGCTGCAGTCTCTGGGGGTCCACCTACCTTATCTACCGATGTCCTCCTTCTTCTTCCCTCAGAGAAGCCAGAGCCCTCCAGCAACTTCCTGCTTCTCTCCCACTTACCAGCATTCCTGGAATCACAGAGGCCCAGGAGAGGCTTACAGAAAAAGCTTCCTGTCTAGACTCTTAGCCTTAATCACTTCTGTTCTCAGAGGAGTCTGTGCAATAGGACGTTAAAGTTTGGAAGGAAGTGAAAATCAAAACATTATTTTACTTTCTGCATCTTCCTTGCCAATCTTTTTTCATAAGACTGCCCCTTATTTTCCTAAGGATACCAGCCCCACAAATGTCTGCATATATCCTCAAATAAACCACAGGTATTTCTGCCATAGGACTTTTGTATATCCCAGTCTCTCTCATCTAGGCAGGCCAAGAGCTCTAGTCAAACGTGAATATTCATAGAATCATATCTTTTCTCTTAGCATATGTCATGTTTTTCTACGATATTTGTATGATTACTTGGCTAATGTCTATTTGACCAGACCGAGAAAATATAGAACACTCTTGATTTTTCTCAATTTCATTCTAGAATAAAGAGCACAAAGATAGCATTTGATGAATATTTGCTCAGTGGTAAAATCAGTCCTGTTAACCCTGAACATGTTTATCATGGGGTAAACATGGAAACATGCTCAGTTATTCTACACACACACACACACACACACACACACACACATACACACACGCATACACACACACCTATCTCAGAAAAAAATGATATTTATTAGAATTCACAATGAGCCATAAAGTTGTCTTACTTCATCTGGTCTTCTTAAAATACTCAACCCCTACTCTATAGAGTAGGAATTCAATGGTCGACTAGTAATAGCAAGAACAAAGATAGCCAGAACCTTCCTTGATGCACTGGAACATGAATTAGGAAAGTCTAAAGGAAAAACTCAGAAGAAAACACTTACTACAGAGTTGAGATATTGCTAGAGTCCATCTACGTAATGAAAATACAGCACCTGGGGTTAATTCAGTCCCTCACTGGCCCTTCAACAAAGGCGTATGAAAGGTGACCACCCAATCAGGTTAATGCCAATACTTGTAGGTGGGGAAGTCAAGTCTCCTTGAAAGGCCGTGGTACTTCAAGAACAAAACCAAATAGCAATAGCAACAGCTGGAGAGCTGCCAGGCCCCCAAGGAAAGTCAAGGTACTTGACTGAGTTCAGCAGCAGAAGTCAGAGGCCAAGAGAACACGATCCGGAAGCCCCAGGTCTCAGCAGAGATGACCCAGCTTCATCTAGCAGAATCTTCTGTAAGAAGTAAGAAGTGAAGGAATAGAGGAACGCCAGGAGTATGTTAGGGCTGCCGTGCAAGAAACACAGGACAAACCCAGAAGTCTCTGCAGTCTCAGGGGGACATAGGGTGAGAATACCCGAGCATGCCAACTCCCTAGCGAGCCTATTTACCAGCCAGGAAAGGAAATTAACCCCACTCCTCCTCCAGTCATCTCTACTGGGATCCCTGCAAGTTGTGGCTTTTTATCCAAGAAAGAATTCAGTGGTGGACACACAGAAAATTTGGTGAGCACAAGCTTATTAGATCAAAGTTTTAAAATACACTCTGAAGGCCCCAAAAGAACATGGGCTAGAGACAAAAAACAAACAAACAAACAAACAAACAAACAAAAAAACGCCTTGAGGAGTTTTTGTTTCAGAGAGGGAGGCATTAAGATTGGATCTGTGTACCATAAGTCTTTCTCATAGTGGGAGCAGGGGAGACTTGTTTGACCCTAGATAGTCAAACCAGCCTTCTCATAATGGGTAGGGCATGGAGACTTTGTTCGGTCTTGATGCTAACCACCTGTTAATCAGTCCATAAGTCTTTATCCGTCACTCTGGCTGCAATAAGGCTGCTGGGACTTTCCATTCAGTGAAGGTTGTATGCCAATAGGATGCAGCTGTAAGCTACTAGCATCTCTGTGGACATTTGCATGAACTGGACCAGGATGTGGTTGAAGAACAGAATCCAAGCTATTGTTTTCCCTCGTGTTTCCTAACACTTCCCTTAACACAAGATAGCACCAGGATGCAGGTGAGCGCAGCGACTCAATCAAGTCTTAACAAAGACAGAGACTGTAGGGAGCATGAGAGAATTTGTCTAGCATGTGAGAATTCCCAGGATTCACTCTCTGCGCATAGGATAAATCTCTGTAGAGAGGAGTGTGGAGCTTTTGATTTTAAAGTGGTGTGTAAACATTCACTGTAGGGATTTTTCTGGTTTAGAGAGACACCCACAGAAGAGATCAAATAAAGATTGCAATTTGAAGGGTGTGTGCAATGTGTGTTTGGTCTTTTCTCCCCATTCTCAACAGAGAGCTCTTTAAGCCTTTGAACTCCCTGAGTTTTGGCAGTGCCTTGGAGTCATGAGCCTGTTCAGGCCAATGAGCAGACAGGATAAGTAGAGAACCTAGATGGATTGAGGGTGGGGGGTTGAATCCCAGAAACACCTAATATTCCTTTAGCCATTACCCCTATCCCAGACCTCCAAAGTGGGAGTAAAGTTGGATATTTAACTATGAAAACTCTTTAACAATGCAGTTGAAAGAGCTTCCAGGGTTGGAGACAACTCTGAGGTCTTAAGTTGTACCATGATAATAGGTCTGTAATAGCAAATAATGTAGTCTCTAGCTCTGTAGCCCATTCTCCCAAACGATCAACCTGAAGAAGGCATCACATTTCATAGACTCATAGCTAGCTGACCAATCAGAAATACAGGTGGCCTTGCACGTTCCTCCAGGATCTGAAATGACAACAATGGGTGCAATTCAAGCCTAATCCTATGGGTGGGAGTCAACTTCAGGATTAAAATGGATTCAATTATTTGATGCCTATTGGCGTCAGAGATCCGGAGAACTGTTTAGGGTTGGAAAGGACACTGTGTATTTGGTGTCAGAGAGAATCAGACAGATGAGGATAAAACCAGAGAAGGAAGGCAACTGCATTTTGATGGAGAGAAGGAGGGTCATACAAGAAACGGGGAACGCTACCTTCCCAGAGGGAAGCCTGAACCTGAAACTGGCCAGCCAGGTCCCAACTGCCGGTCCAGGATTCGGACACTTCCTTATGAGCTTCTTTTATCCCAGAAACTTCTAGCAAAGGCAGCAATAGTGAATTTATGAAACATATGTCCATATCAAGAAAGAAAGCAACTGTCTTCTGTTTCTTTGTGCCGGGTTTTTGTTTGTTTTGTTGTCTAGAGTTGTTTTGGTCTTGAAACAGAAATTTTGATCCTCCTGTCTCAGCCTCGCAAGTGCAGAATTAGCATATTACTACCATGCAACGGTCGCTTTTTTACTGTCGTTCATAACCACACATACCAACACTAGTAATTAGCATGGTCGTATAAACTACCTTAAAACATTTACATGTAACTTCATCAGATTTTCACCACATAGCCAAAGTCCGTCTTCAGAGCTTTAATGGTATAGATCTTGATCATGACTTCAACAAATAACTTTAAACTAAAGCATTAACTCCAGGACTTTTTTAATGAGCATGACACGCTAGCTTTCTTTGGCAGAGCTTTTGGCTGCTTTAAGCCATGACGTTATCAACTTTCTCTTCCTTCTTTCTGTCTCTGTTGAGACAGGGTCCTGTAAGGTGCTATGAACTTGTAGCAATCCCCCTGTCTAAGTCACAATGTAGTTTCTCTTTCTATGAAAAGAAATGAATACAGCCTCAGATCCTTCTTACATGAAGAATTATTGTCAGCTCAATTGAAACAGATTCTAAGTTCAGCTTCAGATTTCTTTTCATGGTCTTCAAAGGTGCATATTTGCACAGGAGGGCAGCCAATTATTGCGTTGTCGAGAATTGATAGGCATTTGATTGATCAAGATCAAGATGGAATTCCACCCAAACTGTTTACTGTCAGCATTGTGCTTCTACACAGTGGTTGACCTGGAAAAAAAAAAAAAACAGGCCAAGTTACTTACAGCCTTATTAAACGGGGCTGTATACAAGTGACCACACATATACTCTTATAAACTGAGTCAGGCTTCGGGGAGGAGAGACCATAAGAGGATGGATGGTAAGACACAAGATTTGCAGCCAGCCTGCCAGAGCAGGAGTGCCAGCCAAGAGGTTCAGGGTCTAAGTACGGACAAGGGAAGTCTCTCCACAAACAGCCCAGTGTGTCTAAGCCTTACAGAAGGAGGGCTTGGTGCTGTGCAAATTCCAGATTAATTTGTTTTAGCATTTCCTCTTGCTGCAGTGCCACAGAGAGCTGATTTTCTTTTTCAGTTTCTAACAGTAGCGGGGGAGGCCGTGGCTGTCTCCATGAACATCCAATGATTCATCTTCGCTCAAGTGAAACCCATGGGAGACGTTGCCAATACCCTGCCTTACTTCTTATCTTCAGTTCTCAGCAGACAACGTATTTGTCTATATTTTTTACAAAGAGTCATAAATTTTTCAGTTAGTGTACAAATAATAGTGCTGTGTAATTTCCATTTTGGTCTCTGTCCTTGGGGTTTGGGGAGAGGAAAAGGAAAACAGGGTTGCTTTGACTGACATTGGCGGGGGGGGGCGAGCAGGGGGGGGGGGCTGTGAGTTCTGCAGCCTGCTGGGAAGCGCAGGAAGGGAGTGGAGGGAGGAACATGTGAGCAGCTGTAAATCCTTAGATGTGATGTCAAAGCAGCAGGTATCAGGTAGCCAGAGGACTCCAGCCGACTGTCCCTGTGACAAGACCAAGATGACCAAGATGGTCAGCCTCCTGAATTCACTAGCAGGGCTCTGCTGAGCAGTGGGAAGAGATGCCTGGAGACAGGAATCCTTGACTCTTCCTCTGCTCCAATCTCTGTCAAATTATTTCATTAAAAATAAGAAAAAAAATCATTTTCAGGATTACTTTACTGCTTGATTAATACTCCAGGAAAATTGGCTGATATGGCTTGGTGGGTATGCAGAGTGTTATCTCTCAAGATCCTAGTGACTGTCTTAGGCTGTCAGACTAATGGTCTACACCAACCCCTCCAAGACTGTCTGTCACTGGGGTGACAGTCACAGCCAACAAGCCCTCAGCACAAACCTGCTTAAACAGAACTCAATTCTAATTATGACTGTCTCCATAGTCCACAAGAAGATGCATCCGCATTATATCTGGTATTTGGGAGACCCAGTGCAAATCTCTCCACGTGTCCAGAATGAATTGGGTCCCATCACTTGGTGAGAACAGTAGGGTCAGCCATTGCAAATTAGTGAGATTCTGGACAGAGATCTGCACAGTCCTCCTTTGATTTGAAGGAAGCACTTAGAAGATGAGAATAAACATCTTTTTCTCCAACCCCACCAGTCCCAGATATAGGAACTCAAGTCCCCAACATGGACTCCTTCCCTGACCCACAGCCTGGCCCACGGTGGCCTTTTATCCACTAGCTCACCACTCCCCCTGCCACATGAGGACACTATGCCCTGCATTTCTACCCATTCCAGGGCTCGGAGCAGCACTCCTTGTTTTGCTCACCTCCCTACCCACAAGTCAACAACCCCTTTCCCAGCATTTCATCTTTTTCAGTAATTTTCCCTTCTCAGATGAAGAAAAGCATTCACTCCGAGGCGCGCTTTGAAGCAATAAACAGCTCACTTCTTTGTGGAAAAATAGGCAATTTTCGAGTAACCTTTGGAAGCATCTAAATAACCCACACGTATTTATGGCTGAGTGACTCTTCGGATTGAAGAAACTTTCAGCCTGCGTTTGCAAAGATTTCCATTAACGTCTTTGAGCAGGCTCTCATCTCATTTTAAAACAAATGGCTAGCTCACAGAAGAGAATTTGGTTTGTTTGTTTTTTATTTTCTCTCTCTCTCTCTCTCTCTCTCTCTCTCTCTCTCTCTCTCTCTCTCTCTCTTCCTTCAGCTTGCCAGAGATTTGATCCATGCATGAGGTAGTGGATGAAGTTCAAACAGCGACTCTTCGCCCGAAGATCTCGAGGTCTTAGGAGGCATAGGCTTGTGATGTTAGAGGTCAGCCTGTTTCCCTCGTTTTGAAAGAACCTCCATTTCACTTTTCCCACTCCTTCCTTCTTGCAGGAATAATTTCTCGAGGAAGAAAGGGGGCTCTAGGCTTTCGCCCACCAACACAATGACTCAGAAAGCACTGTTTTTAAAAGATTCATTTTCAGGAGAAAAATGCCAGAAGCTATATTTATCTCCCACTAATCCATCCCCCCCCCCACTCCTAGATTAAGGAATTAATGGCTGCTACAGCTGCTGTCCTTAGCAATTACTGTAAATTGGTTACAGCTTCAAAAAAAAATCCACTCACCAACAATGGTGAGAGTCCAAGGGTCTATGCAAAGCATCGGGTAGCTAGTCTAAGTAATAAATCAGTGTGTCATGGAGCCCGAGAACTACACAGCCTGGGCACTGGGGTTTTAACCATGGAGGCAGGAGGGGATAGGTGAGAAGGGGGGACATACATCATATCTAACACAGCTTCTCTCAAGGCCCACAGCAGATCAAATTGTAAGGAAATTCCCCACTTCTTGGTAAAAGTTTGCACCACTGCAAGCCCTGTAATATCATGTCTCAGTGTGTTGGCTGTCCTAACATCTGATTCAACCTTTACAGACAGGACACAGTAAACACTGAGTGTCAGCAGGACTTGTCTCCTAAACTCTGGAGATGACACATTCCATCTCTTAGGTCCCACACATCCTGTCTCAAAATCTTGTCACAGGCTGTTAACTTTACATCTGTATCACGTCTGCCTGTATTAGTTAAGTCTTCCCAGAGGACTAGAACAAACAGGCCATCTTATGTGTGGTGTGTGTAATATGTTATGGGTTGTCATTCATGATAGGAGGCTGAGTGGCCATGAGCACACAACAGAAGCTGAGAACCCAGCTTGTACTCCCTCCAAGAACCTAGAACATGGGGTACCAACCATCCAGACCCCATTTGGTAATAAAGGCTTAGATTCTTCCAGAAGACTCACTGGAAGAAAGAGCGTGGGAGGAAAGCCTGAGGATTCTGGAGTCTGAAACCCATGGGCAATGGCTGTAGCCACAGATGCATAGGAAGAGTGGAGTTTGCATACACTGGATGGATTTCTCCTCTTTCACTTCATTTCATCACAGACCCCAACCTTTTGGATGATACTGTCCACATTGAGGTGAGTGTTTCTGCTTTAGTCACCTGTCAATCCTCTTTGGAAAGACCCTCACAGTCACAGTGAGAGCCAAACGTTACTAGTGCTTGGTGTGGGAGAATTGTCTGTATTCTGTCAATCATATTTTAATAAAACGCTGATTGGCCAGGCAAGCAGTATAGGTGGGTCAACCAGACAGGAAGTAGAGGCGGGGCAATGAGAATAGAATAAGGCTACAGAGGAGGAAGGTCCCTCGCCACTCCTGCACAGACCACTGAAGAAGCAACATGTAAGCTGCCACACTGAAAAAAGTACTGAGCCATTATGGCTAACATAGATAATGATAATGGATTAATATAAGTTACAAGGACTAATAAGAAGCCTGACCTAATGGGCCAATCAGCTTTATAACTTATAGAGATCTCTGTGTGTGATTTCCTTTGGGACTTGCCAACTGTGGGGTACTGGGTGGGACAGATACCCCAACAAGGCGGCCTTCTCGTGCTACAAGTGCTCAGTACCAATCACTCCAATCCTGTCCTTAATGAAAACTCTTCGCCACACTGCCCAAGTCTTTATTTGTCACAGTACAGGCCCGAAATGTACCCAAAAGCATACATGGTGAAGTCTTGGTTCTCTGTAGGCAGGCTTTTCTTTCCTGCCCACCAGTTCCCAAATAACTGACATGAAGAGTTTGTATTAATTCTAAGTGCTCAACCAATAGCTCAGGCTTATTACTAGCTAACTCTTACAACTTAAACTAGCACATTTATATTAATCTACATTCTGCCTTGTGCTGTTAAATCTCTTTCATCTTGTACCTCCTGTTTCCATTCTGTGTTTGACTGGTGGCTCCTCTGACTCCACCCTTCCTGTTCCCAGTGTCTTTAATCTGGTTCTCTCACCTTATCCTGTTCAGCTATTGACAAGTCATCTTTTTAATTAACCTAATCACAGTGACACAGCATAAAGGAATATTCCACAGTCCTCAGCTTGACAATCTGGGATGTGGTGTAAACTAAGAGATGGGGCCTATTAGGAGGATTTAGGTTATGGGGTCATGACCCTAGAAAAGATTATGGAATGCTAGTCTCTTCCTCTCACTTTAACGTTTCAGTTATGATATGATAATTTACTCTGACACATTCTCTCACCATGATAGGCTACCTTGGCAAAGTAGCTAAAACAAGGGAGTCCACATGACCATAGAGTAAAGCCTCCAAAATCGTGAGTCACCATAAATTCTTTCTCTTTGTTAATTTATCATAGATATTTTGTTGTAGTAATAGAAATGTGTTATCTAACAAAATCTCAGTAATTCCAAGGCTTCCAACTCCATATTTCCTTCTCTTGAAAACTGTTTCTTTTCCCCTTGTAATTCTATGCTTCCAGGGACTCAAATCGTTGTTCTCAGTCTTACAACCCAATGCATCTTATAAAGCTGAGTCACTTCCATCTTGTTCTCTGGCCAACATGTGAATGAATGTCCTTGATGCAAATCCAATATCTTTCATGGGAGAAGAGTAGGATGTCACGATGCAGAATATGGGTACATTAATTGGCAGAGATACGGGGTAAAGTCAGGGGTAAAAAGCCACCTCTGAGACACCTGTTGTGCTGTGTGCCCTAGCCTGTAGCAAAGCCTTTCAGCATGGTGTTAATTTCACCTATCAGATCAGGTTCAGGGAGACATAGTGAGCAAAGGCTGAACATAGATGAGACTTCTCCAGGTAGAAGCCCATTTAGAGATTCACTTCAGACAGATCAGACAGGAAAGAAACAGGGAAACCTCTGTTATTCCCTGACGGGAG